TGCGACATAAAGTTTCTGGGCGAAATTGCCCCAGCTGAGGCTGGCCTGGGTGGCGTGAGGGCCATGAGTGCGTGAGGGGTGTGAGGGGTGTGAGGGCCGCAAGGGCGGTGAGGGGCGTGAGGGCGGTGAGGGGCGTGAGGGCGGTGAGTGGCGTGAGGGCGGTGAGGGCCGTGAGGGCCGTGAGTGGCATGAAGGCTATGAGTGCATGAGGGCGGTGAGGGCGGTGAGGGCTATGAGTGCGTGAGGGCCGTGAGGGCTATGAGTGCGTGAGGGCCGTGAGGGCTATGAGTGCGTGAGGGCCGTGAGGGCTATGAGTGCGTGAAGGCCGTGAGGGCGGTGAGGGCTATGAGTGCGTGAGGGCCGTGAGTGTGTGAGGGCCGTGAGGGCTATGAGTGCGTGAGGGCTATGAGTGCGTGAGGGCCGTGAGGGCAGTGAGGGCCGTGAGCGCGGTGAGGGCTGTGAGGGCTATGAGTGCGTGAGGGCCGTGAGGGCTATGAGTGCATGAGGGCCGTGAGTGCTATGAGTGCGTGAGGGCCGTGAGGGCTATGAGTGCGTGAAGGCCGTGAGGGCTATGAGTGCATGAGGACGATGAGGGCTATGAGTGCGTGAGGGCGGTGAGTGCGTGAGGGCTATGAGTGCGTGAGGGCCGTGAGGGCTATGAGTGCGTGAGGTCCGTGAGGGCTATGAGTGCGTGAGGGCCGTGAGGGCGGTGAGGGCTATGAGTGCGTGAGGGCTGTGAAGGCGGTGAGGGCTATGAGTGCATGAGGGCGGTGAGGGCGGTGAGGGCTATGAGTGCGTGAGGGCCGTGAGGGCGGTGAGGGCCGTGAGGGCTATGAGTGCGTGAGGGCGGTGAGGGCTATGAGTGCGTGAGGGCGGTGAGGGCCGTGAGGGCGGTGAGGGCTATGAGTGCGTGAGGGCGGTGAGGGCTATGAGTGCGTGAGGGCCGTGAGGGCGGTAAGGGCCGTGAGGGCGGTGAGGGCCGTGAGTGGCGTGAGGGCGGTGAGTGGCGTGAGGGCCATGAGTGAGTGAGGGACGTGAGGGCCGTGAGGGGCGTGAGGGCGGTGAGTGCGTGAGGGCCGTGAGGTTCAGTGAGGGTGAGTGAAGGGCTGAAGGTGAGTGTGACTGTGAGAGTGAGGATGAGTGAGGGGCTGAAGGTGAGTGTAGCTGTGAGGGTGAGGGTGAGTGAGGGGCTTAGGTGAGTGTGGCTGTGAGGGTGAGGGTGAGTAAGGGCGACCTAAAATGCCGACCTCTGGTGGTAACAGATGCTGGCATCTGCTCCAAAAGCATCAGTGGTGTCTCCAGACCAATATTTTGCCTGCTATAGAACCTGCCACGAAATGTCAAATGCAACTTCCATCACTGTTACTTAATATACTATTCAATGCAAAAATCTAAAGATCTCTAGAAATTGAAAAGGCGCCTGTGTCTTAAATATGACCACCCATGTTAGAACCACTTGTAACTGCTTGTGATGAGTGCTACCATGGCAATCATGGTCCTGCAACATACTGTAGTGGAACGAAATGCAATACAGCGTAGTGCAGTCAATGAAAATGTCTGGACCAGCCTTTATAGCCTTTTCCACCCTCCATCACATGGGCACTGTTATCTTGTAATCACGTGACGTGGCCACCATAAGGTGGCTTCAACTCGTCACTGCGCTCTCCCCTCCGTGCCTCTGCAAAGGCGTTGTATTGGTGTTTTTCGTCGCATTTTACTGTGTCTTCAACCTTATTTTGCAAAGTGTCATCTACTACCCTATCGTACTACCCAATACCATGTCATCATTATGTGCACAACATCTGCAGTTAATTTTGTAACACGTTTTGACTATTTTCACTGTTGGTGTACGTGTGAGGAGGGAGGAAGCACAGGAATCAGCGTTAGCCCTGGAGCACACTGAACCAATCATTTATGACAACTCAAGTGTGCTCCGTGGTAGTGGTGGAACATTGAAATAAGTAGCGCAATGTATACTATTTCTGATCGCGCATTTAGGATCTCACGAAAGGTGAAAAATATTCCACGAAGGGGGGAGCATGTGTTTCCCAAAAGAATTGAGCATGTGTTTCCCAAAAGAATTGTGCTTTGCCTCGTAACAAGTCGAAGAAGGTCTTGTGTTCGTAACATGTCAAAAACAGTTGCTTTTGATTACATGGTGGAACTCATTGAGATAGGTTTAACTTGCATTTTATTTGATCCTAGGAATAATGATAACGTCAATATCAGGTGATTTGTTTGTTCATGATATTACTCCAAAAATATGTTCATTCGCTTGATCTGTTTATTTATGAATTTAAAGAAACTGTTCACTGTGCTTGGTCCCATGTCTCCAATCATTCAAGTGCTTTAACGAATTTCTTAAGACCTATATTCAATTAATTTATTTAAATTATAATACTTCAACACAAAGGTTAAAACTGCCCCAGTGAAATAACTGTCACAGGCCACTTGAGATCGCCTGGTACCCAGAATATGCGATGCGGAAAAGAAGCTGTCTGCATAGAAATTGCACAAGTACGGCGTTGTCGATGTCGGATATCGATTTACTTTGTGTGAATAATGACGCCGAACTGTACAAAACAGGTCTGTTTTAATAAATATCTATATTGTCACGAATGAATAGGTGATGAAACAAAGAGTAACTGAGGAAACTGAAACGGTGAATGGGGCAAACTTGTGCCTAAAACAAAAAGGGAACAGAAAATAACAACAGAGCGTCGCGGGCGTCAAAGTCGGCTTAACAGCAGGATCGGACGCCAGGGCGAGACTGACTGCGGCTCGGCCCGCGGAGCCCCTTATGTACACGCGTGGGATTCTGGAACAATCGGCGTAAAAGGCTTGGCGCGTAGAACATTCAGAACTCGAACAAGCAACAGGATTCTTGAACTTACCAGAACACTAAATTGCAAGAATAAATAGAAGACACGTCGCTCCTAGGAATCGAACCCTGGCTCTTCACGTGGCAGGCAAGCACGATAACTGTTAGGCCACGGCCGCGCTGCCCACTTAGCCAGCTGTGCTCGCAGCAATATACATAGGTTCATGAAGTGGTGTCTAGGGCTTGACTTCAGTCTTCAGTCAAACTTGCTGGAAACGGAGCCCTCTAATTTCATTCGGCGAATTTTACGTAAGACAAATGTCAGACTACACTTGACGGGCCTGACAGGTACCTTATTCATATCCCGAAGCAACTGTCCGTAAAACCAATAGTTTATTTTAGAACGTCAACATTGTGAAATGCTGTTAATGAGTACTTCAGCGGGGCCAATAGTTAAAGAAATTTATCACCCGGCCTAGGATGGGCTATTGAAATATTTCTCGAGTGCTTAATAAAGAAAACAGCCCGAAAACAGCCACATAATCACCTCTTTAGATTATGTGCACTATTAAGGAGACATTTCTAGCGTCTGAAGTTCATAAAAAGTTGGTGTCCACGAAAATCAAACAGTGATCAGTGAAGTTGTGATGTTCATGTGTCCTTTGCGATTCAGCGCATTGTTAATCAAGTTGTCAACCTTTTTTTCGCTATGCGCCTTATGCCATTAGATTTTTTTTTATTTGTAAGGGGTGTCGGCGGGTACGGTAGCAGACGATGGAAATCTACCCTGTGCATCAGTTTCATCATTTCGCCCTGAACCTGGCCAGGTGTGCCAAAAAATGTTCGTAAAAACATCTGCAATTATGACTCAGAACCACTTTGTGGATCTGAAAGTAGTTCAGTACTACTGTTTTCTTCGTTGCGTGCTACAACGGACGCCTTTATATCAGAAAATTATAAGCAAAAAGACATAAAGCACTAACACAGCCGCAAGCACGCTGAAATTTAAACCAACCAAATTGAAAGGGGCACTGACACCCCAAAGGTCATATTTTTTTTATTGTCTAAAACAATGCAAATTGTAGTTTTCCCACACACGTGCGCCTTTTTATTTTTGGCGCTTCTCTCTCCCGCTCCCAGCTTCCTCGCTTCTTTTGATTTGTGATGTCAAAAATCATGAAATTTAGAAGCTTTGTATAGCATTTCTTAAGGTTTCTATAACATTTAATAATGGCAATCATAAAACATGTTTTTAAAGCAATTGCAAATGCACTACGGCCCTTCTTTTTTAAATACCAAAAATCGGAGTCCGGTGTGATGTTGCCTCCTGGATTTGTATCCTCCCTCGGAAAACATGGTGGCGCTCGATGCACATAGCAGAGGATGATCAGTAAGTCAGGGAGTCGAACCAAGTGGTCATTTTAGGTGCCCGATGACCTCTCAGACTTCAAAAAGGAAATCATCAAATGGTCAAAACAACTGGGTTTGGTGTGTGTGTATCGTAGTTTCGGTTGTGACTTTGCCAAAGCAGCCTTTCAGACATCAAGCGTCGTCTGCTCGCGGCACAGACGGAATAAAACCGGCTTTCCCCGGGCCACCAGCGCCCTTCTCTCCTGCTCCTCACCTCCTCGCTTCGGGTCGCGGTGGCAACGACAGTTTGGAACACAGAGGCGTGAAAGAAAGTCGACTCGCAGGGCTCCACAATATTGACGTCAACGCACTGGCGCAGATCACGCGAGAACTTCAAATTCGTCATTTGTAAATTGTTTTTTTACTTCACAAATACTGAATTTCCAAGTTTCAAATTTTGAGGGTACTGTCCCGGCATCGTTTTCAATCGTTTCGGATAATAGAAAAAAATATGATTTTGATGTGTCAGTATCCCTTGAAGCCACCCTATGGCGGAAAGTATGCCAGCGCCCTCTATCCACTGGTCGGGTAACTACTGAGATGGAAAGGTCTATACCAAGTGAATTGTAGTGCACATCTTTTTGTACTGCAAAGAACCTGCAGAAAAATTTTCTAAGATCTCCCAGATGATTGGCCCCACTGGCAAAGCTTTGTGGTAAGACGAGCAAACATAAAAAATTACCGAAGACGCCGAAAGAAAGGTGAACGATATTACAGCCCCTTGGGACTCGAAAGAAAGGTCGGAGCCAGCCGAGATTAATATCCTTGCCTCGTTGGTATTTAGCCACGTGGAGTCCTCGTCCTCATAGCAGGGTATCAGCAATGTGGCGAGGGTCCTGGTAACGGCCTCCTGCAGCTGATGTTCTCTGTCCGTGGTCTGCACACACAAGTGGGACCACACAGATTTGTGAAATCTCACAGAAGGAGGAAGAGCCGTACCGTAAAGTTTCTTTCGATGGTCCCTGGCAATCGACCCATGCATAGCAACATTGCCAGGAGACCTGGTACCAAGAGTTTATAGGTGTTTGTTGTCAACTTCGCTTCATAGTAGCATGACCTCAATTTAGACAACCTCAACATATTTTAATAATTAAACCAAGCCAGTCATGAGACTAAAACAGGCTATATAGGACCACTTTGAACATCGCTGTAACACTAATGTTTGTAGCAATTGTAAAACAAAAAATAAGGTGAATTGTTTTCATAATATATGTAACTAATGCAGCAAGAAAAAACAACAACAAGGAGGTGAATGCACTGCAGCTCCAATTGATTCCAGCTTCCTCGGTACTCCCCACCAATTTCCAATCAGGAAACTGATCTAATATCATCTAAGCTGATGGCTTTAAAGGGATACTGAACCCTTCACATTAAAAAAAAGTTTAACATGATCAACTCAATCAACCAAAGACAATTGCACCCTTATATTTTGAACGGTTGGCTATATTTTTCATTCCAAAGGACCGATTTCAGCGAGTGCTCGAAGATCAGCCATCAAAGAGCGCGATACAATTGGTCCAGCATGGGCAAAGCTGTTTAGGAGCTGGCATGGTTATGAGCTCCGCCACATGGTGTCGTCAACGCGTTACAACCTGGCCGTTTTTATCTGCCCCTCCCCACTCCCCGCAAGAGCTGAATAGGCCGGGAGAGAAGAGAAATCCGGTTTGACAGGGCTCGCGAAAACGCAGCTTGCTGGCGTACTTCTGTGGAGTGGCGCTGCTTTTAAGTGCATAGCAATGTAACGACATTCGGTTTATTCCTTGTAAAAAATGTTTTGATGTTTTAGGGGCGAAGCTCCTTAGGGTCTAGCGTTGTCCGGCGTCCGTGCTCACATCGATTGCCATCCCATCTGTCTTCTTAAAAAAAGAAAAAATGTTTGCACAGTCGACAGGATTCAAACCTGTGCGGGGAGACCCCAATGGATTCCTAGTCCATCGCCTTAACCACTCGGCCACGACTGCAGGACAAGTAGGGGGCTCTGAGATGCGGTAGTAACTCACGAGCTGGGGATGTCATGGATGAAACGTTGCATGTAGCCGCTCAACGTCTATACAGAAGAGGGTGCTGCGGTCAAATGTGTATATAATCGCGTCAAACTTTGCATGCATTGGCTCAACGTTTATAGACGAGAGAGCGCTGCGGTCAAATGCTCAACTGCGTATATAACCACGTTCCATACCACACATTCTATTTCTGACATGGATGAAAACGAACGAAAAGCTCGACATGCTGCGGCTCAGCGTCTACGCAGACGCAGACAACAAGCTACTCCGGAGAGGATAAAAAAAAATCAGCACCATCAGCACTACCTATGAACAAAATCAGTACCATCAGGACCACCAGAGCTTTGCCCCAATCAACATCATTCACCACGTGGAGATGCGGTCATTTTTTTTTTCCGAGTAAAAAAATTGTTGCCGCCGTGGTGTGGTCAGAACATGGTTGACATTTAGACAATAAAATAGGCATTTGAATTTCATTGCACTATCCCTTTAAAAGCACAGTCCCAAAATTCTTACGCCTCTCCCGATATGCATCTATAATCAGTGCTCCATCTCAAGATCTTAAAAAGTGAAAACTACTCTTGAAACGTTACCACCTCATCAGACTCGAGGCAATTCTTTTGATATGTGGAAGCAAAAAGATTTAGCTAACTGTCATGGTAACTTGACTAATTAACAGAAATCTGTTGATTAACTTTTTAATTATTGGTTTTAGGGACCATGTTGGAATCGCTGTATTAACTGCAATTACTATTAGAGGCCAACCAACTTAAAGAATGTTCTTTTATGTTAATCAAATGTTAATTCTTACGTTAAACAATAGTTTTTTATGTTAATCAATTGACATTTGTGTTTTTTCACTCAATTTAAAAATTGCACTCACATAAATAGTGAGGTTATTAACAATCAGTTCCTGCATGTACAGAGCTCAAATTTTCTTCAAAGGTGCATTTTAGTGCTACACAATACTATGTTCCACTAAAATAACATGACAATATATCAGTCATCTGTCCCAGTTTGAACTGCCAGCAGAATTGCCCTTCAGATCAGCATACTATATTCATTCTCGGAACTTCTGAAGTATCTCTTCAGGATTTCCAAGTTATACTACGCACCTCCAAATGCAATTAATAGATGCAACCAGCACAGTAGCTAGAAAAGAGTGCATGGCAAAAACTGAGACAGCTGCTACATACTCAGTTTGACAAAGTTAATGCAAACAGGCAATCACCTTTTCAAATTTTTCTCTTGGAATTGAAAGTATGCCAGTAAATTACCAGTCTGGGGAAGGTACTCATTCGGAACACCAATTTAAGCTGTTACATTTGATGAACGTCAATACTTTTCCTGAGTAAAATGCATAAAAGCACGGGTGTTCTGTTTGCGCTAGATATGTCGCACAGAGTACACATGCATGTTACTATGTGCCCCCAATCAACTTTCCAGACAACACTGAAAGAGCAACAGCACCTTTAAGAAATTTTGTGTCATCTAGCAATGCCATTTCAAAACTATGCAGGATGCTTAATTTTGGTTCAAACAGATTTTTTTTAAATAGGGGATGAGGGCCAGACAAGTTCCATCTTCGCTATGTCTTTATCAGGCGCGGCGGACAGTAGATGAGGGGATAATTGTCACGGTAACTTGACTAATTAACAAAAGTCTGTTAATTAACTTTTCAATTATTGGTTTTAGGGATTGTGTTGGATTTGCTGTATTGACTGCAATTATTATTAAGGGCAACCAATTTAAACAATGTGCAAGAAGGTAATAGTTTTTTTTTGTTTTTTTATGTTAATCATTCAACATCTGCGTTTTCTTTCGTGTGATTTAGAAATTGCGTTCAAAAAGAGTGTCACAAGAACTGCCCACAATGATGCTTGGAAGTGTGACATAGTCCTTGCAATCTTGTCGTCACTACCTCAGCAGTGCGTCTTTGGTGGGTGCGCCGACAAGTAACAACGGGACTGAAACGACTACGTCACTCTTCCAAGCGTCATTGTGGGCATATCTTGCAACACTCTTTTTGAACGCAATTTCTAAATCAGGGGAAAAGGCGAAAATGAATTATCTAAGAAACCATTACCTTTTCGCAAATTCCTCAAATTGGTCTTGCCTCTAATAGTAATTACTGTCAACACTGCAATTCCAACATGACCCCTAAAACCAATATTAAAAGTGGTCTCAGTGGCTGTGCTACAACACAGTCCACTAATCCGCTTGTTTTCGCCATGCAGGTTTTTGCTTCTGTCATCACCCACGTGCTGTTTCCTACACTGCTGACTGCTCTCTCGGACGACAGTCCGGGGTGTGCACTCCTCTCCCATGGGCACAGCGTGAACGGCTACTATCTGCCGTTTGTCAGTGAGTCATCACGTCTGGCTGCGCCGCCACTAGAGCACTGGATCCTCGACCAAGCATGGAAGGCACAATCGACATCGACACGTCCAGACGCCGCACCTATAAAGCAGCGACGACCACCAGCGGCACTTTGTGGGCTCGGTGGCTGTGCTACCACACAGTCCACTAATCCGCTTGTCTTTGCCATGCAGGTTTTTGCTTCTGTCATCACTCACGTGCTGTTTCCCACACTGCTGATTGCTCTCTCGGACGGCAGTCCGGGATGTGCACTCCTCTCCCATGGGAACAGCGTGAATGGCTACTATCTGCCGTCTGTCAGTGAGTCATCACGTCTGGCTGCACCGCCACTAGAACACTGGATCCTCGACCAAGCATGGAAGGCACAATCGACGCCGACACGTCCAGACGCCGCACCTATAAAGCAGCGACGACCACCAGCGGCACTCTGTGAGCTCGGTGGCTGTGCTACCACACAGTCCACTAATCCGCTTGTCTTTGCCATGCAGGTTTTTGCTTCTGTCATCACCCACGTGCTGTTTCCTACACTGCTGACTGCTCTCTCGGACGGCAGTCCGGGATGTGCACTCCTCTCCCATGGGAACAGCGTGAACGGCTACTATCTGCCGTCTGTCAGTGAGTCATCACGTCTGGCTGCGCCGCCACTAGAACACTGGATCCTCGACCAAGCATGGAAGGCACAATCGACATCGACACGTCCAGACGCCGCACCTATAAAGCAGCGACGACCACCGGCGGCACTTTGTGGGCTCGGTGGCTGTGCTACCACACAGTCCACTAATCCGCTTGTCTTTGCCATGCAGGTTTTTGCTTCTGTCATCACTCACGTGCTGTTTCCCACACTGCTGATTGCTCTCTCGGACGGCAGTCCGGGATGTGCACTCCTCTCCCATGGGAACAGCGTGAATGGCTACTATCTGCCGTCTGTCAGTGAGTCATCACGTCTGGCTGCACCGCCACTAGAACACTGGATCCTCGACCAAGCATGGAAGGCACAATCGACGCCGACATGTCCAGACGCCGCACCTATAAAGCAGCGACGACCACCAGCGGCACTCTGTGGGCTCGGTGGCTGTGCCACCACACAGTCCATTAATCCGCTTGTCTTCGCCATGCAGGTTGGTAAACCCTATGATCTTTTTGCTAAGAAATCTAGCAACTACTTTTTGGTACAGCTGCCGAGCCCGCAGTGTTGCCTTGCCGTCTGTGCTAAATGAGTTCATGTTGTCCATTTTTTACTGCTGCTGTCAGGCAAAGTAGAAACAAACCCAGGGCCTGACGATGCCATGCTTGTTGAACTGCAAAAACTGTCTGCCGGTCAGTCTCAACTACTTGCTGAGGTACAAGGACTCAAATTCCAACTGCAAACAACCGTCAAAACAATGTCTGAACTCTGCAAGCGAATGGCCGAACTAGAAGGCCATTACCAAAGTTTTGCAACTGTGCGAACTGAACTAGAGACAACCCGAGCTGACACCGCCCAGACGGCTCGCCA